GGTTCTGGCCCTTTTTTTTTTTTTTTTTTTTTTTTTTTTTTTTTTTTTGCGGGGTGTCGACGACCCCCGACCGGTAGGTGCCGACCAGTCAGGGGTCGCCGACGGTCGGCGCGTGCAACACTGCTCAAGAGTCAATACTCGTTACAGTGCATGGGGGAAAAAGGGACCAAGGAAAAAAAACATTTCATGGAATTCGTCATCTATGGTGGACTGTTTTTCTGAGGATAGGTGCTCAGGAATCCCACAGTCGTCGGCGGGAGTTCGGGGCTGTAGTTGGGGGACGGGAACGTGCTGACGAATGGAGGGCTGGTGGGGAAGAACGGAGAGGGGAACTTGGAGCGGAGGTGAAGTCGATGAAGATCGAATTGTGTGGAGCACAGAATGATCACTACCTGGAAGCCATGGGGCAGGGGAAGACCTCCTCCTAAGCCACAGATGCAGTACAGAGTGACATGTGAGGATCGTCCAGATCCTAAGGAAGATTGGTGGTCCACAAGAGAAGAGGAAATCAAGTCTGCAGACTCTGCACCTCAAGTTGTTCGACAATGTGAGAGGGCTCTTAAACTGCCAGTACCTTTCCCAGCCAGCCGTTGGCTGCGGACCCTGCGCGCCAAGGATTTGGGATGTATCTGGCCGGGGCGTGAGGCCAGCCCCGGCCTCCGTGTTAACTGGCAGGCTTTTGTTTTTGGCTGGGAAAGGTACTGGCGGTTTAAAGGGCAGCAATGGCAAGATTAAGGGTTCTGCAGAGGATTTTGAACCTAAGGGGGAATGGGAATGCAAGGCTCCAGGACTCGGCGGGCCCTAAAAGGGCCGCGTACAGAAAATGTGCGCGGCCCTAAAGTGAAGGTCGTGGCAGGAAAAGTATGAGAGCCCCAAGTGAAGGCTGCTGTGATACAGGTGGTGGGACCCAAGAGGTCCCGAATGAAGGGAAGGATGGACCCCAGCGCCCCCTTCCCCCCCACTAACCAGGTGGCCCAGTCTCTGAGTTCTCAGGGGCCCAACGCATGACCTCCAGCAAGACACACAAGGAGGGAGGCCTTGGCATTCCACACATTCGGAGGCACTGGCTGCCATTGTTAGCTCTGCCAGAGGGTGTGGTGGCCCAGTGAGTGCTCATTGCAGAAGATAGGTGAGGAGCAGCAATCCTGAGCTTCTCCACCCAGCGGCATGCATAGCTGCACTGGGAGAGGAAGTGAGTTGGTGCTGTGTCTCAGGGTTTGGGGAGGAGGACAGCAGTGGGGACTAGTGGTACTTACCTGGTGATGGCCAAGGAGCACACTTGTGGCGGTCAGACTCTGCAGCATTACTAGGCAAGGGGGGAGAGAGGGAGAGAGAGAGAGAGAGAGCGAGAGAGAGCGAGCGAGCGAGAGAGAGAGAGAGAGAGAGAGAGAGAGAGAGAGAGAGAGAGAGAGAGAGAGAGAGAGAGAAG